ATTTGAATTAGTTCCGAGCCTTGTGCACTTGCAGGACCCGTCTCACGAGTGCACGGCGTCTGTCGCGCCTCGGATTTGGGTTCTGGGGCGTGACAGATTTAGTGGTATCAGAGCTTAGGTTTGATTAAGATCTCGTGATGTGAGAGCCTAGGTTTAAGTGAATACCTAGGATATGTTTTGTACTTGGCTAGTTAGTGGATTTTAGAATCGTGGTGAGACGAGTGATGGGGTTATACAAGGGACGATTCTGATTTGTGTTGCTTGAATTTTCTGATCTGCTTTGATGTGATAGTGATTCAGTTAGTTCCTGTTATCTGTCGATAGTGAGAAGTTTTGAAATTAATCTTGCTCACTATGCTCTTAGGACCTTGTTTGAAACTTGGTCCCTTGTGATAGTATGTTTGGTTTTGGTTGTGGCAGGATGTATAAGGCCTTCCACATTAGGTCTGTTTGCTTGAGTATTCATCTGGGCATTCATACGTGAATGCGAACATAGACATACATGAGCATATACACGCATTCATGCATGCACACATGAGTATTCATACATGCATGCATAAAGGCATTCATTCATACATGCATATGCATGCATTCATCCGTTCCTGATTCTGGGTATCCGAGTGATGTTTATCTGTCTCGGATGGAGTTCCATCTTTTAGTTGGACTCCTCATTGGATTCCTTGCCCTGTTGTGTTTGATGAGTGCCGGGTCTTGATTTAAGTCAAGGGCACCACATAATCACGCCGATAACTCTCGAGTTTAGTTACTTGTGTCGAGGCGTGAAGTTATCTCCCGCCTCCCAAATGACCATTGGAGAGGATGGAGATTGAGATTGAGATTGTTGTTGGCTTGTTAGAGTAGTGATGAGTACCCAGTCCCCGTAAAGTGAATTTGACTGTTGTATCTTTGTGATTGTTAGCCGTGCATCTTGTGATTGATTTCCTTGTGATAGTTGTGTTTGATATCTGAGTGGCGCAGCGGAAGCGTAGTAGGCCATGTTCTGATCATAGAAAGTCGGTGGGGCATTGTTTTGTCTTAGATTGTGTGAAGCCATTCACCAATCGAAGTGATCCTAGATTTGAGTTTTGGGGACAAAACTCCTTTTTAGGAGGGGTGGATGTAATATCCCAAAATTTTGGGGTATTTTAGCATTAAATTGAGGGACTTATTTGATGAGAAATATTATTGAGGGGCTTAATAGTCAAATTTTAAA